AAAATGTCAAATGTGTCGCATAAACGATTTTCCTTCAACTAAACAAACAACAAAACTGTAGCTGTAACAAAATAATTTAGTAAAATAAACCAAAAAATAGTCTTGGTGAAATATCGATACAGCAGCCCACGATATCGATACTGTATCATCACATTAAACGATACGATATGTCAATATTTAGATATTTTTGCACACCTCTATACACAAAGACCTGCATTCAGTTTGTTGAATAAAAATGAACATGATCAACCAAATTCTTAACGATCAATTATGGATTAGTCGACTAATCGTGCCCATCCCTAGATTATAATAAGTCTGTGCAATTAATCGAATTTTGATGCTTTCGATTTGTGTGTCAAATATCTCCAAACTCCAATCCAGTTGAAACAATTTAGTTCAACAAAGTTTATTTTGAGATATTTTTTATATAAATAAGTGGAGTACTACAGTAGAACAGCTGGATATAGAGTTTATTTCGGACACATTTATGTTTTTCTGCCTTATTTCATTCATGTTCAAAGTTTATTTTTTATTTTATGTTTTATACGTCGCAAAACTGCTCTAAGGTTCAGATTTGTACCTATATTTATTTTCAATTTGAAAGTTTTGCGTAAATTATCAATAACAAAGTGTTTTTTCTTTTGAGAGAGAGAAATCCTGAATAAATACGTCATGTAACTAAAAATAATTGAATAATCGTGATAATGATTTTTTCCATAATCGGGCAGCTCTAGTTTTTATGTTGCTTCATGTTCATGTTCAACACTTTGATTTAGTTAAATGACGGTTTAAAGTGTCTGAAAAAGTTCCTTCCTTGTGCATAAATCGTCTGTTTTGGTCAGATTTTTCCGGTGACGACATCAGCGCAGTTTTACAAATCTCTGCCACTTCCTGTATTTTACAACTTCTTGTTTTCTACTTTTCTTCACTAAAAGGCACATTGCGTAACTTTTCTGCTGGTGGGTCGGTCAAACGCTTTGTCTGGAATGTTTCTGTCTAGTTTTGAGTTTTAAAACCACCTGTAATTGAATAAATGTAAAGTAGAAGTGTTTCATTTAAGACTGGAGGATGTGGAAAAAAATAATCACGATTTATTTTTTCCCAAATTAATGAATCTTTATTTTTGATTCGGTCTTTTAACATCTTTTTAAAAACAGGCAGGTAAATAAAGCAGCCACTACAGTTTTTATTCCGTGTTGACAGGACCAATAATTCCAGAGAAAAGAAAAAGAAGAAACAACCTCCAGTTATTTTAACAGCTCCACGGCTCTAAAACGCAGGGACAGAGACACAGAGGGACAGAGGGACAGAGGGACAGAGAGACAGAGAGACAGAGGGACAGAGAGACAGAGAGACAGAGAGACAGAGAGACAGAGGACAGAGAGACAGAGAGGGACAGAGGGACAGAGGACAGAGACAGAGGGACAGAGAGACAGAGACAGAGGGACAGAGAGACAGAGACAGAGACAGAGGGACAGAGACAGAGAGAGACAGAGGACAGACAGAGGGACAGAGGGACAGAGAGACAGAGGACAGAGGGCAGAGACAGAGACAGAGAGGACAGAGGGACAGAGGACAGAGAGACAGAGAGGACAGAGGGACAGAGGGACAGAGGACAGAGGACAGAGGACAGAGACAGAGACAGAGGACAGAGACAGAGAGACAGAGAGACAGAGAGACAGAGGGACAGAGGGACAGAGACAGAGACAGAGACAGAGACAGAGACAGAGAGGGACAGAGAGACAGGAGACAGAGAGACAGAGGGACAGACAGAGAGACAGAGGGACAGAGAGACAGAGAGACAGAGACAGAGGGAGGGACAGAGAGACACAGAGGGACAGACAGAGGAGACAGAGGACAGAGGACAGACAGAACAGAGGGACAGAGGGACAGAGACAGAGGGACAGAGGACAGAGACAGACAGAGAGACAGAGAGACAGAGAGACAGAGAGACAGAGAGACAGAGGACAGAGGGACAGAGAGACAGAGAGACAGAGAGACAGAGAGACAGAGGACAGAGGGACAGAGAGACAGAGAGACAGAGGGACAGAGAGGACAGAGACAGAGACAGAGAGACAGAGAGACAGAGAGACAGAGAGACAGAGGGACAGAGAGACAGAGGGACAGAGGACAGAGGGACAGAGAGACAGAGAGACAGAGAGACAGAGAGACAGAGAGACAGAGGGACAGAGGGACAGAGGGACAGAGAGACAGAGAGACAGAGGGACAGAGGGACAGAGACAGAGGGACAGAGGGACAGAGACAGAGAGACAGAGGACAGAGAGACAGAGGGACAGAGGACAGAGAGACAGAGAGACAGAGACAGAGGGACAGAGACAGAGGGACAGAGGGACAGAGGGACAGAGAGACAGAGAGAGACAGAGAGACAGAGAGGACAGAGAGACAGAGGGACAGAGGGACAGAGAGACAGAGACAGAGAGACAGAGAGACAGAGAGGACAGAGGGAGACAGAGGGACAGAGAGACAGAGAGACAGAGGGACAGAGAGACAGAGAGACAGAGGGACAGAGAGACAGGACAGAGGGACAGAGAGACAGAGGGACAGAGAGACAGAGAGACAGAGGGACAGAGGGACAGAGGGACAGAGAGACAGAGGGACAGAGGGACAGAGGGACAGAGAGACAGAGGGACAGAGAGACAGAGGACAGAGGGACAGAGAGACAGAGAGACAGAGGGACAGAGAGACAGAGAGACAGAGAGACAGAGAGACAGAGGGACAGAGGACACAGAGAGACAGAGACAGAGGACAGAGAGACAGAGGGACAGAGAGGACAGAGGGACAGAGGGACAGAGGGACAGAGGACAGAGAGACAGAGAGACAGAGAGACAGACAGAGAGACAGAGAGACAGAGAGACAGAGAGACAGAGGGACAGACAGAGAGACAGAGAGACAGAGGGACAGAGAGACAGAGACAGAGGACAGAGGGACAGAGGGACAGAGACAGAGACAGAGGGACAGAGGACAGAGGGACAGAGAGACAGAGGGACAGAGGGACAGAGGGACAGAGGGACAGAGAGACAGAGGGACAGAGAGACAGAGGGACAGAGAGACAGAGGGACAGAGAGACAGAGGACAGAGGGACAGAGAGACAGAGGACAGAGAGACAGAGAGACAGAGAGACAGAGAGACAGAGACAGAGCAGAGAGACAGAGAGACAGAGAGAGACAGAGGACAGACAGAGACAGAGACAGAGGACAGAGGGACAAGAGGACAGAGGACAGACAGAGGGACAGAGGGACAGAGAGACAGAGGGACAGAGGGACAGAGAGACAGAGAGACAGAGGGACAGAGACAGAGGGACAGAGACAGACAGAGAGACAGAGAGCAGAGAGACAGAGAGACAGAGAGACAGAGAGACAGAGGACAGAGAGAGACAGAGAGACAGAGGGACAGAGGGACAGAGGGACAGAGGACAGAGGACAGAGGACAGAGACAGAGAGACAGAGAGACAGAGAGACAGAGAGACAGAGAGACAGAGAGACAGAGAGACAGAGGGACAGAGGGACAGAGGGACAGAGAGACAGAGAGACAGAGAGACAGAGAGACAGAGGACAGACAGAGACAGAGAGACAGAGAGGACAGAGACAGAGGACAGAGGGACAGAGACAGAGAGACAGAGACAGAGAGACAGAGGGACAGAGGGACAGAGACAGAGGACAGAGACTGGACTTTTAGTCAAATTATGCAGATTTAAGTCAAAACTTGTGACACGTGAGGAGACAGACTCACTTTGACCCTGACTGATTTTTTCTAAACAAAACAGAGTTAAATCCTCGTGTTTCCAAGCGTCTCCATCTGCTGTGACCTGTCGACTGAAACGCAGAAAAGTTACACCGTGTAGCTTTATAATCTGTGTGTCAATCGTTCATTTGTTTTTCTATAAAACCAAAAATAAGAAAATGAAAAAAACAACTTTTTTTTTTCATGATCTGTATCCAAAACCAAAATGTAAAAACAGATAATGATTTGTTTTTTCAGTTTTTGATTTTGTGTTTAAATGAAAAATGGAAACAAAAAATAACGACCGTTTCCCGTTTACGTGACTTCAGTGACTGTGATGTCGGACTGAACCAGGACTGATCCAGGTCCGGGACCAGAGCGGGACCAGAGCGGGACCAGAGCGGGACCAGAGCGGGACCAGAGCGGGACCAGAGCGGGACCAGAGCGGGACCAGAGCGGACTCCAAGCTTTGACTCCGAGTCTCTGTGGGGTCCGAGCTCCAACTTCGAGCTCCGACCCTGCTGTGGGCTTTGAGCCTCCGGTCTGGTCCCGGTCTCGGTCCGGGTCTGGTCCCGGGGTCCCGTCTCGTCCGGGTCTGGTCCCGGTCTAAGGTCCCGACTCTGGTCCCGGTCTCGGTCCCGGTCTCGGTCCCGGTCTAAGCCCGACTCTGGTCCCGGTCTAAGCCTGGTCTGGTCCCGGGTCTCAGTCCTGGTCTGGTCTCGGTCTCAGTCCCAGTCTAGTCCTGGTCTAAGCCCGACTCTGGTCTCGGTCTGGTCCCGAACCTGGATCAGTCCTGGTTCAGTCCGTACGCGGTGCAAGAGTCCGACATCACAGTCACGTAAACGTTTTTTCTATTTTTCATTTAAAAACAAAATCAAAAACTGAAAAACGAATCATTATCTGTTTTTCGGAGACAAATAATGAAGAAAAGTGTTGAAAAGGAACGAGACAGATTCTGTCCAGAGGCACTTTTTGTTTCACTGTAAATCAGACGAGGTGGTTTTGGATAAAGCTTTTCTGTTTCTGTACAAAGAGTCGTTGAGGTGAAGCTCGGCCCCGGGACAAACTCAGGTCATGTCCTTTCCTCCTCCACCCCCCCCACTTCCTCTCTCCAGCTTTATGTTTCTCTCTCTCCCTCTCTCCTCCTCTCTCTCTCTCTCTCCTTCTCTCCTTCTCTCCTTCTCTCCGTCTCAGTGAATCTCTGAGGATCTGGCCTGAGTTCCTCCTCGCACTTGGACGTTCCCTCGTTCCTTTGTAGTTTATGTGATTTCTGCAGCGACATGAAACCTGATCGGCGCCAAAGCCTCGTCCACGTGTGCGTCTCGTTCACCGAAGAACGTGTGAACTTCATCCAGACTCACTGAGCTCCAGTCCAGATCATGAACATCGACCTCACGCTGGATCTGAGGGAAATAAGATGAAGATCCAAGCTCCTGTGTCACACAAAACTGACTCTCGTGAAGCTTTAAGTCGTGTTATGACCAAAGTGAACGACGGTCGACCTTCAGACGCTCTGAGTGCAAAAGGGAAGTGAGGAAGAACTTTTTAAAAACATAAAAGACACAAACAGTCAGGTACAGTGTTTTTATTTTGCCTTTAAAAGTCCGACACAAACTGACTCCTGAGCTTCAAGACGTGAATCTGTGTCGTTCATTCGTTTTTTATATAAAACCACAAATAAGAAAACGAAAAATCAACTGTCTTGGTTGGACTTTTGCACCGAGTACAGACTGAACCAGGACTGATCCAGGTCCAGGACCAGACCAAGACTGAACCAGGACTGATCCAGGTCCAGGACCAGACCGGGACTGAGACCAGGACCAGACCAAGACTGAAACCAGGACTGAGACCAGGACTGAGACTAGGACCAGACCAAGGCTGAGACAGAGACAGAGACAGAGACAGAGACCCAGACCGAGACTGGGACTGAGACCGAGACCAGACCAGGACCAGACCAAGACTGAAACCGGGACTGAGACCAGGACTGAGACCAGGACCAGAGCGGGACTGAGACCGAGACTGGACCGGGACCAGACCGAGACTGAGACCGAAACCAGACCAGGACCAGGATTGAGGCCGAGACCAGACTGGGACTGAGACCGGGACTGAGACCGAGACCAGACCGGGACCAGACTGGGACTGAGACCGAGACCAGACCAAGACTGAAACCGGGACTGAGACCAGGACTGAGACGGGACCGGGACCGAGACCGAAACCAGACCAGGACCAGACCGAAACCAGGCCGAGACCAGACCGAAACCAGACCAGGACCAGACCGGGATTGAGACCGAGACCGGACCGGGACCAGACCGAGACTGAGACCGAAACCAGACCAGGACCAGGATTGAGGCCGAGACCAGACTGGGACTGAGACCGGACTGAGACCGAGACCAGACCGGGACCAGACTGGGACTGAGACCGAGACCAGACCAAGACTGAAACCGGGACTGAGACCAGGACTGAGACGGGACCGAGACCGAAACCAGACCAGGACCAGACCGAAACCAGGCCGAGACCAGACCGAAACCAGACCAGGACCAGACCGGGATTGAGACCGAGACCAGACCGGGACCAGACTGGGACTGAGACCAGGAACAGACCAAGACTGAAACCAGGACTGAGACCGGGACTGAGACGGGACCAGACCGAGACCAGAGTGGGACTGAGACCAGGACCAGACTGAGACCGAGACCGAGACTGGACCCAGACTGAGACTGAGATCGATTAACGCTGCATTTTCAACAGAAAAGATAAAAATATTTTCTAAAAACATATTTTTTTAGGAGAAGAATCAAGTCACAGGCCTCAAGTCCAAGTCGAGTCCCAAGTCTCAGTCCGTTTTATCAAGTCAAATCTCAAGTCCTAAAAATAGTGACTCAAGTCTGTTTCGAGTCCAAGTCACGACCTGCACGTCCCCACCGCTGCTTCTTCCCGAGGACACTGAACACTGGCTTTAAAGCCACACTGTGGAACATTCCCCACAAAGCAATAACATCCGTGGAGAAAAGCTCACGAGTGCTTCAGGCGGCGTCACGTTTTTCTTGGTCTTAACTGAGCAGTGACTAAAGCTCCGGCTCACGTTTTTACACAGTCAGTTTTTCCGACTTCACTTGAACTCAACACGGCACTTAACCCCGACAGTCATCACCACGACCACAGACCAGAGCTCGAAAAGCACCAGCTCCCAGCGAGGGACCGAGGCAGACACGAGGACCAACGTGGAACAAAGAGACCAACAGTAACAAGAGATGTTTTTAAAATACAACATATAGATCATAATTATTATTCTTAAAGGTTTGTCTACGTCTAAAAGTCCAACATCACACAAAACTGTCGAGGGCTGGTGTCATTAAGCTGTTGATTCAATACGACATCTGAGTCCAGTCAAGTGGTAACGGAGGGAAACAGGCAGATTTTTGACATTCAAATGTCTCTTATTCAGAAACTAGAGGAACTATTGAAATAAGTAAAGTATCAGAATGTAGGAAAGAGTTACACTCCAACAGGGTCAAGTTAAACCTGTGATATTCTTTCAAGTTGTTGACAAAAAATTAAAAACTCATGTCGGTAACGGAGGGAATGAAATATGCAGCACTTTTTGGTCAATAAATCCAAACAGTGATAACTCTTGGTTCTCACTTACATATCCTTAACAAACTGGTTTGAATATTTGCTTCATATAGTTTTCTACCATATGGTACAAGATTAGGTTGAAAAACCTCTGACTTTTTGACTCATGAGATTTTTTATTAAGAAAGTTCATGGTAACGGAGGGAAAAAGTAACGGAGGGAAAAATTGTACAAACAAGTAGAAGGTGCAGGATTTTACATCATTTGTCACTTTTTTCTTCTGAAAACTTTAATATTACTTCAAAATGAAAGGAAACTATTTCTATAAAATATGTCAGTCCTTCCAAGAACATTTTTATCATTTTAAAAACTTGAAAAATCATGAACCTTCATCAACAGTTCAAAGATGGAATAACACAAGATATGATGAAATACATCCATTTGATTTTGTGTTTAAATGAAAAATGAAAAAAATGGATAACATCTGTTTCCCGTTTATGTGACTTCAGTGACTGTGATGCCGAACTTTTGCACCGGATACGGACTGAACCAGGACTGATCCAGGTCCGGGACCAGAGCGGGACCAGAGTGGACTCTGAGTTTTGACTCTGAGTTTTGACTCTGAGCCTCAGCTTTGAGCTCCAGCCCTGCCGTGGGCTCTGAACCTCCGCTCTGGTCCCGCTCTGGTCCCGGTCTGGTCCCGGACCTGGATCAGTCCTGGTTCAGTCCGACATCACAGTCACTGAAGTCACGTAAACGGGAAACGGTCGTTATCTGTTTTTTCAATTCTTCATTTAAAAACAAAATCGAAAACTGAAAAAACGAATCATTATCTGTTTTTCATTTTGGTTTTGGAGACAAATAATGAAGAAAACTGTTGTGTTTTTGTTTGTTTTCTTATTTTTGGTTTTATATTGAAAAACGAATGAACGAACGACACAGGGATTTGGACGGAGCCTGAATGAAACAAAACTCAGCTCCAGGTTTGTTTGTGAAGAGGAAATGACATTAGAACATGGATCTGCAAACAGTGTCACACGGGACCTGAAACAAACAGAACTATTGTCTGGTTTAAAACTAAATCAAAACTAAACTAAAGTAAAGTAAGTAAATCTGCCTCGTCTTTGTGCAGATTCATTCACACCAAGAGGATTTTTTGGTTTATTTTACTAAATTATTTTGTTCCAGCTACAGTTTTGTTGTTTGTTCAGAGGAAGGAAACTCGTTTATGTGACACATTTGACATTTTCACCGTTTGATGATTAAAATGTTTGTGTTTCATATGAACTTTGCACAAGAAGAAGTTTAACAAAGACTTTTAGTGTCACAGATGTGATTTAGACTTTATTTTTATATTTCAAATCAGCGCACTGTGTCAAGGTATGTATCGTAACTTCTTAAACCCAGACTTATTTGGTTTAGTCCCGGTTTAGTCCCGGTTTAGTCCCGGTTTAGTCCCGGTTTAGTCCCGGTTTAGTCCAGTCAGCCTTTCTGTATTAGGAAACAGTAAGTCCAGGACTAAACCAGGACTAAAACTTCATTTAACAACATATTAAATTGGTTTAATTTAGGTCCAAACCAGGTCTAAATCAGGACTGAATCAGGACTGAGATCAAAACTAAACCAGGACTAAAACCAGGACTAAAACCAGAATTGAAGCATGACTGAATCCTAACTTAACTACAAACTAAACCAGGTCTAAATCAAGTCCAAACCAGAACTAAATCAAGTCTGAACCGGGACTCAAACCAGGTCTCAAACCAGGATTCAAACTAAGACTCAAACCAGGTCTCAAACCAGGATTCAAACCAAGACTCAAACCGGGACTCAAACCGGGACTCAAACCGGGACTCAAACCGGGACTCAAACCAAGACTCAAACCAAGACTCAAACCAAGACTCAAACCAGGACAGAATTTTAACTTAACTACATACTAAACCACATCTAATTTAGGTCCAAACCAGGTCTAAACAGAGATGAAACCGGGACTCAAACCGGGACTCAAACCGGGACTCAAACCGGGACTCAAACCGGGACTCAAACCGGGACTCAAACCGGAAAACTGAACCATGACTGAATCTTAACTTAACTTCATATTAAACCAGGTCTAATTTAGATTCAAACCAGGACTGAACCAGGACTGAACCAGGTCTGAACCAGGTCTGAACCAGGTCTGAACCAGGACTGAACCAGGACTGAACCAGGTCTGAACCAGGTCTGAACCAGGTCTGAACCAGGTCTGAACCAGGACTGAACCAGGACTGAACCAGGACCAGTAGTAAGTACATCACATGTTCTTAACCCTTATTTAACCTCAACCTTTCACCTCAACCTGATGGATCATGTTTAGACCTGGTTTAGTCATCAGTGCAACATCTGTTTCACGAAGGACTAAACCAGGACTAAACCAGGACCAAACCAGGACCAAACCAGGACTAAACCAGGACCAAACCAGGACCAAACCAGGACCAAACCAGGACTAAACCAGGACTAAAGCAGGAGTCAATTCAGAATGACTTGAGAATACTATGAGAATACTGCTCCCTGAGGGAACATTCTTGAACCAGGTCTGAGCCAGGACCAAAACAAGACTAAACCAGGACTAAACTACAAAATCAACCAGTACCAAACCAGGTCTAAATGAAGTCTGAACCAGGCCTTAACTGGGTCTAAACCAGGACTAAACCCAAACTAAACAAGCCTACATAATGAATTAGGACCAAACCAGGTCTAAATTAGGTCTGAATCAGGGCTAAACCAGGTCTAAACTAAGTCTAAAACTAAGACTAAAACCAGGTCTAAACCAGGTCTGAACCAGGACCAAAACAAGAGTAAACCAGGACTACACCAAGACTAAACCAGGACTAAACCAGGACTAAACAGTACTAAACAACAAAATCAACCAGTACCAAACCAGGTCTAAATGAGGTCTAAATCAGGACTAAACCAGAACTAAAACCAGGACTAAATCAGGTCTAAAACCAGGACTAAAACCAGGACTAAACAAACAAAACAAAAACTAAATAAGCCAATATATTGAATTATTACCAAACCAGGTCTAAATCAGGTCTGAATCAGGTCTAAACCAGGTCTAAACAAAGTCTAAACTAAGTCTAAAACCAGGACTAAACCAAACCAGGACTAAACCAGGACTAAACCAGGACCAAACCAGGACTAAACCAGGACTAAAATCGGGGCTAAAACCAGGAGTCAATTCAGATTGACTTTACTGCTCCCTGAGGGAACATTCTTGAACCAGGTCTGAACCAGGACTAAACTACACAACCAACCAGTACCAAACCAGGTCTAAATGAGGTCCTAACCAGGCCTTAACCGGGACTAAACCGGGACTAAACCGGGACTAAACCAGGACTCAACCACACCAGACCTAGATTCTAGTTTAGTCCTCTGCTGAGTCCGTGTTGAGCTTTTGTTTGGCAGCATATGGACACATCTTGAGGCCGAACACTGAGTAAACACGCTGGTTTATAATCTTGCAAAAGTCCTTGAGATAGACCAGTTTGAGTCCTGGTTTAGTTCTCGGTCTAGTGTGAAACAGACGTATTTATTGTCAGTAAAACCTCTAATACGGCGTCGGTTTAGTCATAAAAACCCACTACGTTTTCTCCTCACGTTTGCCCCTCGCTTTTTAACGCACATTTATCGGTATTTCACGTAAACATTTCGCGTTTAATCAGTGTAAAAATGTCGTTTTAAAATCCACAAAGTCCCTTCCTCGTCGCTGATGTTGAGGTGCTCAAATGCGTCAATACGAACGGAGAACACGTCCCCCCAAAAACTGTTTTAGACGAGACTAAACCGGGACTAAACCACACGTTCAACCAGTACCAAACGTGGTCTGAGTGAGGTCCTAACCAGGTCTAAACCAGAACCAAACCAGGACTGAACCCAAACTAAACAAGATCTAAATTAGGTCTGAACCAGGTCTGAACCAGGTCTAAACCAGGAGTCAATTCAGAATGACTTTACTGCTCCCTGAGGGAACGTTCTTGAACCAGGTCTGAACCAGGACCAAAACAAGACTAAACCAGGACTAAACTACAAAATCAACCAGTACCAAACCAGGTCTAAATAAGGTCCCAACCAGGCCTTAACCGGGTCTAAACCAGGACTAAACCAGAACTAAACCCAAACTAAACAAGCCTACATAATGAATTAGGACCAAACCAGGTCTAAATTAGGTCTGAATCAGGGCTAAACCAGGTCTAAACTAAGTCTAAAACGGACTAAAACCAGGTCTAAACCAGGTCTGAACCAGGACCAAAACAAGAGTAAACCAGGACTAAACCAAGACTAAACCAGGACTAAACCAGGACTAAACTAAGTCTAAAACCAGGACTAAAACCAGGTCTAAATCAGGTCTAAACCTGGGCAGAACCAGGACCAAAACAAGACTAAAACCAGGACTAAACCAGGACTAAACTAAGTCTAAAACTAGGACTAAAACCAGGTCTAAATCAGGTCTAAACCTTGGCAGAACCAGGACCAAAACAAGACTAAAACCAGGACTAATAAGTCAAACAGGACTAAAACCAGGTTAAATCAGGTCTAAACCAGAACAGACCAAAACTAAAACCAACTAACCAGGACTAAAACCAAACTAAACAAGCCTACATAATGAATTAGGACCAAACCAGGTCTAAACTAAGTCTAAAACTAGGACTAAACCAGGACTAAACCAAGTCTAAAACCAGGACTAAACCAGGACTAAACCAGGACTAAAATCGGGGCTAAAACCAGGAGTCAATTCAGATTGACTTTACTGCTCCCTGAGGGAACATTCTTGAACCAGGTCTGAACCAGGACTAAACTACACAATCAACCAGTACCAAACCAGGTCTAAATGAGGTCCTAACCAGGCCTTAACCGGGACTAAACCGGGACTAAACCAGGACTAAACCAGGACTCAACCACACCAGACCTAGATTCTAGTTTAGTCCTCTGCTGAGTCCGTGTTGAGCTTTTGTTTGGCAGCATATGGACACATCTTGAGGCCGAACACTGAGTAAACACGCTGGTTTATAATCTTGCAAAAGTCCTTGAGATAGACCAGTTTGAGTCCTGGTTTAGTTCTCGGTCTAGTGTGAAACAGACGTATTTATTGTCAGTAAAAACCTCTAATACGGCGTCGGTTTAGTCATAAAAACCCACTACGTTTTCTCCTCACGTTTGCCCCTCGCTTTTTAACGCACATTTATCGGTATTTCACGTAAACATTTCGCGTTTAATCAGTGTAAAAATGTCGTTTTAAAATCCACAAAGTCCCTTCCTCGTCGCTGATGTTGAGGTGCTCAAATGCGTCAATACGAACGGAGAACACGTCCCCCCAAAATTGTTTTAGACGAGACTAAACCGGGACTAAACCACACGTTCAACCAGTACCAAACGTGTCTGAGTGAGGTCCTAACCAGGTCTAAACCAGAACCAAACCAGGACTGAACCCAAACTAAACAAGATCTAAATTAGGTCTGAACCAGGTCTGAACCAGGTCTAAACCAGGAGTCAATTCAGAATGACTTTACTGCTCCCTGAGGGAACGTTCTTGAACCAGGACCAAAACAAGACTAAACCAGGACTAAACTACAAAATCAACCAGGTCTAAATAAGGTCCCAACCAGGCCTTAACCGGGTCTAAACCAGGACTAAACCAGAACTAAACCCAAACTAAACAAGCCTACATAATGAATTAGGACCAAACCAGGTCTAAATTAGGTCTGAACCAGGTCTAAACCAGGTCTAAACCAGGTCTGAACCAGGACCAAAACAAGAGTAAACCAGGACTACACCAAGACTAAACCTGGACTAAACCAGGACTAAACTACAAAATCAACCAGTACCAAACCAGGTCTAAATGAGGTCTAAATCAGGACCAAACCAGGACTAAATCAGGACCAAACCAGGACTAAATCAGGACTAAACAAACAAAACAAAAACTAAATAAGCCAATATATTGAATTATTACCAAACCAGGTCTAAATCAGGTTTGAATCAGGTCTAAACAAAGTCTAAAACCAGGACTAAACCAGGACAAAACCAAGTCTAAAACCAGGACTAAACCAGGACTAAACCAGGACTAAACCAGGACTAAAATCGGGACTAAAATCGGGGCTAAAACCAGGAGTCAATTCAGATTGACTTTACTGCTCCCTGAGGGAACATTCTTGAACCAGGTCTGAACCAGGACTAAACTACACAACCAACCAGTACCAAACCAGGTCTAAATGAGGTCCTAACCAGGCCTTAACCGGGACTAAACCGGGACTAAACCAGGGACTAAACCAGGACTAAACCAGGACTCAACCACACCAGACCTAGGTTCTAGTTTAGTCCTCTGCTGAGTCCGTGTTGAGCTTTTGTTTGGCAGCATATGAACACATCTTGAGGCCGAACACTGAGTAAACACGCTGGTTTATAATCTTGCAAAAGTCCTTGAGACAGACCAGTTTGAGTCCTGGTTTAGTTCTCGGTCTAGTGTGAAACAGACGTATTTATTGTCAGTAAAACCTCTAATACGGCGTCGGTTTAGTCATAAAAACCCACTACGTTTTCTCGTCACGTTTGCCCCTCGCTTTTTAACGCACATTTATCGGTATTTCGCGTCAACATTTCGCGTTTAATCAGTGTAAAAATGTCGTTTTAAAATCCACAAAGTCCCTTCCTCGTCGCTGATGTTGAGGTGCTCAAATGCGTCAATGCGAACGGAGAACACGTCCCCCCCAAAAAAACGTGCACAAAATGGCCTTTATCTGGGTTTAGATCAATGTTTATCCAACTATGCCACTTCAGCTAATTACAACGGGCGTCCGGCACCCACACACGCGCTTATGTAATCACAATTTAGCTGCAAAATCCATAAAAAACCCGCAGAAAAACAGCGGGGGAGACCCAAAAAAAAAAAAAAAAAAAAAAAAAAGAAATATCCTCGGTTACGTACCTATTCTTGCGGGCGCGTGCCATAAAATCCCCGCGAAATATCCGTCTTGACTGAAAAAAAAAACCTCCAGAGAATCCAGCGGGGCGTTGCAGACAGTGTGGCCGCCGTCCTCGCTCACTCCGCGGGCATGTCGAGAGCGTGCGGCCGCTGCTCGGAGCTCCGGAGCGGATCTGAGGCTGCTGAACTCCGGCTGCGACTGGGAGCTCTCGGATCCGCCGCTCTGATTGGTCCAGACGTCGGCGGGGGGGCGGGTTTAAAGCTGCGATTGGTCCGAGGGTTAGACAGAGGGCGGGGTCAGGGCTGCGATTGGTTGAAGGTTGCGGGGGAGGCGGGACTAGAGCGTTTAAAAGCGCAGTGACCTCAGATAGACGTACGGCTCCGGGCGCGTTCTGCTTTAATTAGCTCTATTTGTTGATTTCTGGACTAATTAAAGGATTCGTCGGATACTAACAGGATTTTTTGAAGCGTAACTG